ACATAATTAACAAAACAGCCATGACCTGCTCAAAGGAGCTCTGAATTTGTTGTGCAGGTAGAACTAAGCTTAAAACAAGGAGACAAGTAGATGCCAAAAGTTTGTACAGCAAGAGTCTGAGCACTGACTTTATTGAGCAGATAAATGCAGTTACACATAAACAAATGTAGTCTGTTGGCCGCTGCAGATATCCAATATACTAATTAAATGAGGGGGGAAACAAGTTAAATGGGTCAAGCTTTTATTATGATGGAGACTTAAAATATCCAAATGGTATGCTCTTGGGGAAAAATGTGTTGGTTCTTATTATGTTATATTGAAGATAGTTCAGCATGAAGAAGTACAATCTTACTACATTTCTTACATAAATTTCTTTCTTTACTTATGTAATTCTGCTTATGGAAGAGCCGTAAAAATGCTAAACAGTATAAACACTAAAACAAAAAAAGGTTGAGATAAAAAAGGGACAATTTTTCCTGTCACAGCTAAACACTGTTATCAAATGGAAGTTAAGAAATAACTGATATCAGTATGTGAGTAATTAAAAGCATTTTTACAAAGAAGTCTACCAGACTGTCTTCTGCATGTACATACAGAGCTGCAGTAGTGTTCATAGTGTTATCTCACTAGTAGTGTTATCTAATCCAACATAAGCATTTGGATGACATATGAATGAGGTTTTTTTAATCTCTCCATTTATTTATTCCTGATTCCATGAGAGTTAAGCTTTAAAATGAGACTTGAGTGAACTCCCTGAACCTTGGGATGATGCAGAATATCAGGTTTTGACCCATCCTGTAGGTTTTTAACTCAAATATCTAGAAAATTCCAAGTTCTGTTTCCAGGATTTGGAAGCTGATTTCTCATCTTTCCTCAGCCCTCTGTCTTCATTGGCTCTTAGCTGCAACTTGCGTTCTCTTTTTCTCTTTCCCCCTTTCTGTTCTCACTCCTCTCTCTTAAAATATGAATAATTAAATAGCACTCTCAAATTAAGGTCTTTAAAAGAAAACGGGAAGAAAAACAAGATAAGAAATCGGGTTTTTACAAAATTTTCCTTAAAAAAACCCTTAAAATAATGACTGAACTTAAAGATCTCTGTAACTATCTGAAAACAGGAGTCAGCTGGAAATATTCATGTGAAGCCATGACACATTTTCCATGACGTTGAATTAATTTTTGCCTTGCTACTTTCAAATTAATTATGTTACACACATGAGACTCCTCCTGGCACTTTGTTAACATCTGGATGCCCTTGTTATATTTTTTACCCAAAAGTCTGTATATTCTTTTGGACCAAGTCATTATTTCCCTGGATAACTTTCTATTCAGGTGAATTTTCATTGCTTCTGTCATTAAGTTTTCCTTTCTCACTACAAGGAACATTTTGTTTAACTCTTACATAAATATAAGAGGAGTATTAATTACCAATAAACTTCTGCTAGTAGTGCCTGGAAAACATCAAGCGTCAAGGAAATAAAAGCTGCAGCTTGCTTTGTTAAGAAAGATCAGCGGATAACAACTCTGAACAACACCGCTGAACAACATATACCTAGGACTTACTGCCCTACTTTTTCTCTTCTCAGACTTAAATTAATATTCCATGGCCTATCCTGCCATTTCACATTATGGAGAGCTGACTCTTCCTCTAGCTTGCTTAAGATCTCTTTTCCAATGTAAACCAAATTTTGCTTCCTTCTGCAATCAGAAAGCCATCTTCAAATAAAACTCTGAATGTATGAGCGCTGTCTTATATTTTAAAATATGCAAAAGTTATTTTGGACATGGAGACAGAAAAATATGCAAATAATGCAATAAATGAAGTTTAATCAAGCTAATATTTATCCTTAGAAAATATCATTTGAGTTATTTGCATCCACTAGCATTAGAACCGTGACTTTTTGGAGTCAGGTTGGGATATGCCAGCTGTTCGCCTGATTGTTTAAATGTTCCAAATTCTAACATATTTTAAGAAGACAGTTTTAGCAGAAACACCCTCAGTTATTGCACTCTTTCAGATCCCACAAGAAAAGGCTGTCGGACCAGGTTGCAGATAGAGACATCCAGCAAAACTGGAGTTACAAAGCCTGTTTGATCCCAGTAAGTTGGCTTTATTCTTGGTCATACAGTATTGTGGAAGCCACTGTGTAGATCAAAGAGTTAATTAAATAACAAAGATTTCCAGGAAAGAAAACTAACTTCCAACCAGTGCTGATGTTTACACTTTGTGCAATGCACCTGAACAATTTTAAACAGATGAAAAGGAAAGGGAGAAAGACAGCCCAAACATCTGAATGTGATTGCCTGGAAAAGCACTGTGGTCTGTGCATAACTTCATCTTGTCAGAGATGATATTCTGCCTCTGGAAGCAGTTAAATTTATAAAAGAAAGAAAGTGCTTACTTGAATGCAAAAGCTCGTCCAAATGTTTTTAAACCATTTCTTTCAGGGCATTAAATAATGCTCAAATGTCCATTGAAGTCAAACTTCCACTGAACTAAATCAGTGCAGTCTGCAGATACGAAATGATCCTGCTAAACTGAGCTCCTCACTGTACCACGTGTCACTTGTGACAGCTGTGGCGCATGTCTATAACAGTAAGAAATAGCAGCTACATTCACCACAGAGGCAACTGAGCTCTCATGTGCCAGCTGGCCATTTCCCAGACTTTTCGGATGTTTGTAATTCTTTGTCATAACAACGACATTCACTCCCTTTGTGTTCCTCTTAGCGAGACAAGAAAGTTACCCTTTATCATTACTGGAAAAATGATGCTTCTTCTCAGAAAACATTACTGTTTCTAGAATAGTCCATTGTCTGGTCTTCTCTTTACTAAGGCCAGCTGATTCTCTTACTCTTTGCTTTCTGCCAGATTATACTTACACAGATTCTTATATTAAATCCTTTCATAATACTATTTTCCCTATTAAGAGTTCCTGTAGTAACTACATGCATGCTATGTGGTTGGAGAGGGAGGAAGAAGCCGTTTGGTTTGTGCATATGCAAAGAAGTGGCCCTCTCTCTTTCGTAAGATGTGGTGGACATTGCAAAACAGTTTGACAGCAGCTGGTCCAGCTTTTCTGATAGACTGGTGAGAATATTTGACTCAAGCTCCTGCCACTTAAATCCCCAAATGTTGACTATAACCTTCAAGAAAGAAGATATTTTCTTATGCCTGTTCTAAACATCAGTAGTGAAATAAGCAACTCTAGTCCAAACTGAATGTTAGAATTTTGAAAAAATATTCTTTTCTGTCCTAACAGAATAAAGCTATAAATTTTTTTTTTTTTTTTTTTTTTTTTTTTTTTGAGTGGCTTATTAATAAACTGCATTGTGTCAAGGTAGGATTGAGCTCTACCATAGCAATACCCATATCATTAAATTATCTTCTGATGTCAGTTTAAAATCCTCACTGGAGTCAAATCAGGCATGCATCCATTCACCTTACTTTACTTCTCATTCATATGTAGTTGTAGATTGGATTTTGCTGGGTAGAAAAGGAACCAGAGACATGAAAAGACAATCATCTAGCTTTCTGGTCTCCCTGTTTAATTACATTTGTAGGGAAGATAAAACATCCATGGATTCAAATGAATGTACAAGTGTAATTCCACTCATGGTATTCAATAGCACTTCAACAAAATAGCAATGTGCATATTAGAAATGTTCAAATCTCATGTGCATCACAGTGGCTATATATGGTACATGAGAACAATAATACTGAAACATCACAAAGCACATCGTAGGCTAGACAGGATAGCTTTCACTTGAATTTAATGAGGCAGTAATCATAATGAAAGACAAATTAAATCACAGCTTACTGAAATTCTCCATTCTGAAAAGAGTATTAATGCCACAATGAGTCTTTGAGTTGCAGTTAACTGCTTGAGATGATACAGCATGCTCCACTGGTTGATTCTAAAAATGGTAGAAAAAGGCTAAAGCCACTTTATACTGTCAAACATTTACCAATAGCAAAAGAAAATTACTTTCAGACATAGATAGTCTGTTAACTCTCAAATGGTACAGTACTTCATTTATAGCAACAGCAAGACTGAGGCATTGAAAAGTTACAGATCCAGAACTAAAGACTTTACTCGTGTAAGTAAGCTCATTCACCTAAATGAGGACCGTTGGGGTTGAGGCCAGAACTCTATCAGTATAATACTAGAAAAATATATTTAAATTACTTCACAATAATGAACTGAGTGAGAAACCTAATCCCCACAGGACTAAGATTTCCTTTCATAAGGATTAATAATATTGCATCACTAGCGATGATTTTGTATTCAAAATTATTTCATGCCAGCACAAAATCTTTGGAGGGGGAGAAATCTCACAAGTATCCATTTTATTGCCTTATCCAGACTCTGTGAGCTATGCATATAAACCAGACTGTCAATCAGTTTGAAGGAACTGTTGAAGCAGTACTGTGCCATCTCTGCTACATGTTCCTCTTCCTGTTGTTGAGTGACCATTAGTAATTAATTACAGCTTACTGCCATAAAACTGCTTTTCTTTCAGCATGAGCTTGCAGTTTGCTATGGGTTAAGCAGCTCAAATGCCAACCTACAGGAGTCCTAAAAAGGCAAAGCAGGGCCACTCAGGAGGGCAGAGTTTCATGCCACTGGAGCCCCAGTAATTACATATATCACTGTGGATCCACCATCTGATACGACCTTGTCCTTCTCTTGTTCTTCTCTCTTGTCCTTCTCCTTGTCCTTCTCTGTTCAGGCAGGAAGATGACAGCAGTCCTTGCTCTTATAGTCATAGGCTTGCACCAGGCAGGAGCCCTGCCAGAGCTGGTCGTCTTCTAACGGGTAGAAGAGCTCGTCCCAAGGAGATACGATGGCTGAGCAAGGATTTAGTATCACTTCTCCCAGTCCCATTGTTGTTAGCCCTCTTCCATGCTATTAGAAGGGAACTACCACCCCTTGTATCTAGCCACGTGGCCAGATGTTACACGATTGAATAAGAAAATAAATTTGGATACCAGATGATTTGGGGCAGCTAGGCAGAAGGGAGGATGGGAGTAGCTGCTATACAAACCTTACAATTTCAAGTATTATGACAAATCTTGAAAATTTTCATTTTCGTAATGGTAAGAAGTCTGTTCTTCCATGTCTTGAGTTACTTGCTTTTGCTTTCTCCATTCCCTTCTCTGTACTTCACTGTTTTGACTGGTAGCACCGTACATTTTCTTTGGACTTACAAAAGTTTCATTGTTCATCTCTGTTTCTTCAGCTAGTTCATCCTGATCAATTATGCCACATTTCTCTTCATTGAGGTTTTCAGGGTCAGCCCATTCCTGCTTCTCCCCAGAAGCAAAGATAGCGTAGAATATCACTCCACTGTAATGCACCAGGGCTGCAATCAGAAAGACGTTTTGCCATTCTTCCCGGGTCTGAAAGAATGGTGCAGGTCTCATTAAGTTTGCAATAAAAAGAAATATTACTCTCTGAATTAGACCATGAATTAGCACGTATTGAACAATGACCATGATCACTGTTTGATTCCTGATGTTACAGATAGAACAGTTTATGAGAGTCATTGTGAAGATTTTTTTTTTTCATAACAACGGCTAATAAAATAAAACATGGGATTTTTTTTTTCTCACAGTGAAGTTTCTCTCTTGCATGTGAAATACTCGTGGAGTTGGAAATGCAGGGATTTCTCTAACAATTAAGTTAATCTTATTGTAGATCAGTGATTGCTTAGGAATCCTACCAGGGATGTGTTGTAGAGGAGTTTCTCAAGTCCTATAAGCATTACCCAGTAGTATGGAGATATTGCAGAGACCCAGCCTCAGATGGTATGAAATAGTATCTCCCTACACAGATAATTAGTTTATAATAGCCGAGAATCTGGCCCCTATGATATTGTAAAAGTGAATGTTTAAAACAAACAACAACAGAAAACAGCTGCAGAGATCAATGATAAAATGGAGTTCCCAGGAAGCTTTGAAATGTCTAACTTTTGTTGCATTACCTAATCCTTTTCCTAGAAAACATGGAGAAATGTTACCTTATGTTTCGTCATTGCACCAACGATGAGCGGGCACACCATGCCCGACAGTGTCCCCACGCCATTGGAGATCCCCATCAGAATGCTGGCGTAACGTGGGGCTATGTCCAAGTGATTCACGTTGAATCCTACAACAAATGAGAGACAACGGTCAACTTTACAGCTTTGCGCTACCAGGCCAACAGGGCTTTCTACAGCCGTTCTGGCTGAAGAAGCCTGAAAAAGGTAGGAAACCCATTACCATATATATGAGAAAGAAGGGTAGTATTTTCATAGAATCATAGAATAGTTTGGGTTGGAAGGGACCTCTAAAGGTCATCTAGTCCAACCCCCCTGCCGTGGGCAGGGACATCTTCAACTAGATCAGGTTGCTCAGAGCCCCGTCCAACCTGACCTTGAATGCTTCCAGGGAGGGGGCATCCA